AAAGAAAGGACTTTATATTTACACATAAACATATCAAAAAAAAGAATATATTCCTGACACAAAAACAGCTTGGTCTTTATAGTTTGCAGAGATAATATTCATCATATTTGTCTCCAAGAATAGTTATTTCTCTTGTACAAAAGAAAAAGAAGATATAGAAAAATTACATTTTTATTGTCACCACACCTCAAAATGGAGGGTTGTCAATTCTACCTTAAGGAACAAATTTTTTTCCCAAGAGTAACTGCATCACAATTTCTTGCATAGACTGTATGATAAGTTTCTGGTGGCAATACATAGGTCTGAGTAAAGGTTTTCCGCATTTTTTCTCTGTCTGCATTTTTTTTTTAAGATTTTATTTTTCCTTTTTCTCCCCAAAGGCCCCAAAGTACATAGCTGTGTACTTTTAGTTGTGGATCCTTCTAGTTGTGGCATGTGGGATGCCACTTCAGCATGGCTTGATGAGCGGGTCACGTTCGCGCCCAGGATCCGAACTGGTGAAACCCCTGGCCGCCGAAGCAGAGGGCACAAACTTAACCACTCGGCCATGGGGCCAGCCCCTCTGTCTGCATTTTTTAAACCATATTTTAAGAAGCATCATCAAAACCAAACACGTAGGGGCCTGCCCAGTGGCTGAATGGTTAAGTTCACATACTCCACTTCAGCGGCCCAGGGCTTCACTGGTTGGGATCCTGGGTGCAAACCTGCAACCACTCATCAAGCCATGCTGAGGTGGTGTCCCACATAGCACAACCAGAAGGACCTACAACTAGAATATACAACTATGTACTAGGGGACTTTGGCAAGAAGAAGGGAAAGAAAAAAAGACGATTGGCAACAGATGTTAGCTCAGGTGCCAATCTTTAAAAAAAAAAACCAAACATGTATATCAATACTAAAACTCATAAAATTAGCTATTATATACCCATGTAGGCATCTTACTAAATTGGCTAATTGCTTCATGAGAAGTTATGTAATATAATAGAGGGAACATTTGCAGTGGAGGCAAAATTACCTAGAGCTGAGTGGAAACCATGGCTCTATCGCTTGCTAGTATACGACCTTGGGCAATTTTCTTCTCTCAGTCTGAGTCTTCTCATTTGCAAAATGAGGTAATAACTCCAATCTTACAAGGATTAACCGTATGTGAAATGCCAGCATAGAGCCTGACTCAAAGCAGCAGATTAGGAAACAGTTACTGTTATTACTCTGTTGTCATTTATGTAAGCTCCTTAAAGGCAAATCATACTTTTCCTTGTAACTCAATTGTAGGCTCTATAATTACTGAAAACTGAAAAAATAAAAGCAAGAAACATCAAAATTACAAACGAGGATTTGGTATAATAGTCCAACACATACCTAGATAGGAAATGAGACTATGAAGTAATAATGATGACCTTCAAAACATATATCAAAATGAACAATGTCCTTATTTTTATAAGCCACTCTGAAAGGAGATGATGCTGTCTGTATTCAAATCACACACAGAACTACTCTTCATTCGTGCCATAAATATTTCTTGTCTTTCTTTTTTTGCTGAGGAAAATTAGCCCTGAGCTAATATCTGTTGCAAGTCTTCCTCATTTTTCGCTTCAGCAAGATTAGCCCTTAGCTAACATCTATGCCAATCTTCCTCTACTTTATTTGCAGGTGGCCGCCACAGCATGGCTGCCAAGTGGTGTACATCCATGCCCAGGATCCAAACCCGCAAACCCAGGCCGATGAAGTGGAATGCGCCAAACTTAACCACTATGCCACAAGGCCCACCCCTCCACAAGTATTTCTTGATTGTCCATTAAGTGTCAGTTACTATGCTAGGCAATGTGCATATGATTGTGAGCAAAAGCAGACACAGTTCCAATTCTCATGGAACTTTCAGTCATACAACTGCACAAATAGTGTAAACTTGTGATAAATGATGTAAAGGTCAGTAAGTGGTATTCTGAGAGCCAGTAACAGAGATCTAACCTAATTGAGGAGCCCAAGGAAGGGCTTCCCCAGGAAGTGAAAGCTGAGAGCTAAAGAATGAAGAGGGAGTTAACAGTGGACGGTGTTTCCAGATAGAGGAAAGTAGCTTGTGCAAAGATCCTGCCACAGGAGGAAACAAGCAAAAATATAAGACCAAAAGGCCAGTGTGCCTGGAGCAAAGACAAGAGCTGTGAGAATTAGCTAGGGCTCTAGACTACACAACTGCGAGGACTTATAGACCATATTCAAGAGCTGTAATATCCCAAAAGCAAAGAAAAGCCACTGAAGAGTTTCATGAATGCTTATTTCGGGGTGGGGGCAGGTAGGCTGAAGCTGAAGGACGATGATTTGCAATTTGCCTTTGGCTTCTGCAATAAGAGCTAAAGAAGGTAGATGGATCAGGTAGGAAACAAAAATTCCCTCAGGGTATGACAATAGCTTGAGGGACCAAGGGGATGGGGATGGGGATGGTGGAAGAAGTTGATGAATTCAAGAGATATTCAGTAAAACCTGATGTATAGTATTCAGGGGCTAAGGGAGAACAAAGTATCCAAGGAAACTTCGAGGTTTCTGATTTTCATGACCATATAGAAGGAGATACCATTCAGGAGGGATCTGCTCCAGAAACATCTTTAGAGCAGTTTACACACCCCAAAAAGGGCCTAAATGCATTTCACTTTGGCCTGAACCTGTTTCAACTCAGTTTGGTCCCTTACTTTACTTATGAAACAGGGTTCCAAAAGATGTTTTGCTTCTTCCAAAAATCAAATTGACTCTCCAAAGTACAAGATTTTTCCAACACTGAAGATACTTCAAAGATTCTGCCACAAGCTTCAAAATCAACTCCAAGTGACTTCTAAAACTGGCGTGAGCAATGGGGCAGCACTATGGAGTGAATGTGTCATTCCCCATGACGAACTATTTTGATAAGACTAACACAAATTTGCTGTTTAATTTAAATATTTTAAGAAATCTTGACAGTTTAGAGTACTCTTATGTGATATTAAACTAAAATATGAAATTTTATCAGGCATTACAATAACTGGAACTATGCTGCTTTTATGTTTGTGTTTCAACATTCTGAAATGCCTGTAGAAAACTCGGCATTTTGGAAGAAAAGGTATGATTAAAAACAAACCATACAGGGGCTGGCCCAGCAGGCAATAGTTGTTAAGTTCACGCCCTCTTCTTCAGCAGCCTGGGGTTCGATGGTTTGGATCCTGGGCATGGACCTACACACTGCTCATCAAGCCATACTGTGGCCACGTCCCACATACAAAATAGAGGAAGACTGGCACACATGTTAGCTTAGGGTCAATCTTCCTCACCAAAAAAAACCCCCCAAAAAAAAGTCTTCATCTTAATATATAACTATTTTACTGTTTCCATCCAGTTCTTGTTAATGCCCATCACATTCACTCAAGGTAAAAGATTTTTACTAACCACACGTGTGTGTATGTATGTATACACTATATACAAAGTAAAGCCAACACTGTAGTATTTACTTTCTTCAGTTTTAACTTTTTAATTTGCAACCTAATGTCACTTTCATAGTGGAATACTGGATGCCTTTCAGTCTTAGAAATACAGAAACTTCAAATCTGACTAGCCCAAGGAAAGTAAGTGAAAGAAAGAGTTTTGCCCCTTTAATAGCAACCTAACACATCACACCTTAGTACTGAAGTAATTCCCTAATTCTGGCAGGATGGCCTCCTTGGCCACCTGCTTGCACTAGGCCCTAACTCAAATTTTATTAACACACAACTGCAGTTACCAGGATGTTACCACCACTTGTACACAGCAACAGAATTCTTTTGTTTTTTTTCCATGCTGATTTTATCTCAAGGCATCAAAAGACAACACTGAGGTCTGAGGCCAAATATGAATAATGTCATCTCCGCAAATGAAGAGAAAAGTCAAGGACTTTCTAAAAATCAGGTCTTAAGCCCATTAACCAATATTAGCGTGTAAAACCAGACTGTCTTCATACCAAAGACTGTGCTACCCAATGTGGTCCCTGGGAGCAAGGGCTGGAGAGCTTAAAATGGGTTACCAGCATGGTTCATCTTTTTCTTTCAGGTGTTTTTTTAAAAACATGGAATCAGTCTATGGCTATACTTGAGTATAGCTTAGGCCAGGTATGGGAGCGCCAAGGAAGAGACAGCAAAAAGCCTTTAGGGGTCCCAATCTTAGCTAGCAGACTTTCCTATCTTCCTCACAAGGAGCGGTCCATGTCTCCCAGCAGGAATGTGGGAGAGGGAAAGTTCTAAGGGCCCTGGGCTTTTCCCTCACCCAAGCCCCCAGAATGACACAACAAACCACTTCCTTCTGGGAACGGAGGGTCATAAGCTTTAGGGGACAATGGAGCTCAATCCCGGCTTCAGAAAGATGGAGACAAGGAGATGAGACGGGGGAGGATGGAAGTGGGGGTCAGGGGATGGGCCCAGCCCGAGAGCTGAATACGGCAGTCACCGCCAGGGACTTCGGGAGCAGGGACCTTGCAGCATCTGTGCGAGAAGGCCTGCCACGGCCCTCTGAGAAGCCCGAGGGGCTCGTTGGGAAGTCTGGGGCATCTGTGCACCAGAGCCTATCGCCACTCTCCTCGGGAGGGGAGACAGTCCCCGCAGGAACCCTCTCTGCGAGCAGGGGCTTTCCCTGCCCTTTTAATCACAAACCCTCACGGAAAGCAGCACAAAATTTATAGGGGTGGACGGGCCAGAGGCAAGTAGGTGTCCTGCAAATGTCGGGGAGGGCTTGACAGAGGGAAAGGGAGGCCCCCCAGTTCGAGGAACTTTAATTGCCACCCGGGAGCGGGAGGGGGCAAGAGGAGGCCCGTCAGCCGCAGGGACAGAGGAGGCCAGGAGCAGCGTCCAGCGGCGCCCGGAGTTTCAGGGGACGACGGCTTGGGGCGCGGTCGCGGCGGTCAGAGGCCCGCGCCGGCCCGGAGGCGCGAGGAGCGCGGGTCGGCGGCAGACGCCGCCTAGGCCTCGGGGGTCCGGACACACCCACCGCGCGGCCGCAGGCCCGCTTACCTGCTCCTCCTCCGGGGTCAGCTCCGGCGGCATGGCGGGCTGGGGCGCGGTCGCGGGCTCCATGCAGCCGCCGCCGCCGCCGCCGCCCGGCGGACACCCGCGGCCCGGAGCGCGGAGAGCCCGGGGCTGGCGGCCTCCGCTTCCGCGTCGCGGCGCCTCAGCAGCCCGAGGCCGGCTCGCGCATGGTGGGCCCGCGGGGCTGGCGGCCGCCAACGCCGCTCGTTCCCTTAAGAAAAAGCTCTCCGAACTGTCGCTCTCTTCTGGGCGGAAATCCTTTATTATTTTCTTCGCTCCTTTCCTCACACTCCGCCTCCTCTCCCGGAAAAAAAAAAAAAAGTGCAAGAGGAGCTAATAGTCAATCGGGATCAAAAAAGGAACTAGGGAATCAAGAACTTTCTAAGCCCAGAGCGAAGGGTCGCGGCGGAAATTTCCTGAAGGCTGCCGGCCTCGGCGTCCCGCTTCCTCGGCGGCGCTCCCGCTCCTCCAGAGCGTGACGAGGAGGCCTCGGGGATGCGGGCCCCGCGACCTGCGCGGCGCCCCTCAGCCTGGTTCCTCAAAAGCCGCGGCGGCGAGCGGGAGGGAGCGAGGGAAACGCGCCCCACTCCGGCTCACCGCCAACGCTGCGGCCGCCCCGCGGCCGCCCGAGCCCCCCGCGGCTCCATTGAGAAACGGAGAGTCTCATTCACAAGCAGGCGGCGAGAAGGGCCCCGCGGAGCGAGGACGCCGTCCGGAAGGGGGAGACAGAGAGGGACCCGGCGCGGGCGGCGGGGGAGGGAGGGGAGGGAGAGGAGCGTGAGTGGGGGAAGCTGGGCGGTCCGGCGGGGGGAAGGGGGGACCTAGAGGAACCAGGGCGGGGGAGGGGCTTCGGGCGTCTCTGGACTGCGGAGAGGAAGAAGAAGGAAGAAAGGAGTCTGAGTTTTATGAGGTTAAGCTCGGTGAAGGAGGAAGACAGTACATTCGTTTGAAAACTAGCTGCTGACGGGCACCTCGCCGGGGGTGACCTGCTGCTACCACCTACGTGAGGAATGCACGATCCTCATCTATTTCCTTGTCACTGCTGAGTGAAAGACCCTGGAGAGATTGCCTGCGAGGTCCAGGATGCTCAAGTGGAGGCACAGACCCAATAATCGCGGCCTTCTCTCTCTTTGCCGGCCGCATCCTGTAATCCATCACCAGTGTAGCTAATTTTAGTCCTTCACAAAAGGAGCATCTGATTTCGAACCTCATTCAGGAATCATGCAGCTTTTGGAAACCTTGATTTTCACTCACGCCGGCGCAGCAAAGAGCTTAGGGGTTTTACAGGGTACAGTCTTGGAGTCACTTTGGGGGAGGGGAGCACAGGGAAGTCAGAGCTGGGTCTGGTATGTTTTTGCATCATTCCAGACCAAAAATAAATATTCCAAAAGGGACCCAACTAACAAACGCGTGCCACAGCTAGTCACAAGAGCTGAAGCCCTGGGAGAGAGACCCAAGCGAGGGAGAGAGACCCAAGCGAGGAGTCTTCAGATTACTGAGGAAGGTCCTCTGGGCTCTGATGCTACTTGCAGGATTTTATGAAAGCAACCTCTGACCTCACCTCGTGTTTCTGCGTCGTTGTAATAGGAACTTCAGGCTGCCCTTGGTTAGAGAAGAAACCCCTGGTGCTTGGATCTGTTTGTCAGGTAGGTTAGTTTATCCTTTGCACCAAAAAGGCTGACTCTGGGTTGAATTCATCACCCTACACCGGAGTTACAGTTTCAATATTGCAACTAGACGCTCCTCCGGAAGACAGTCCGTTTATTTAACAAGTACGTTTATATGCCGGGCACTGGGCTATGCACTGGAGTTACAGCAGTGAACAAGACAGTGGTCTCTTCCACATGTAAGGATATGGAACGATCCCTGAGCTATGCTATGAAGTGAAAAACGCCAGACTCAAATAATGTGCATAATATGGTGTCAGTTGTACAAGAAAAAAATACTAAACATATGTTTGTAAACTTATTTACACATAGAAAAGCTTTGGGAGGATACACAAGAAAGATAACAGTGATTGTCTCCCAGGAGGGGAACTGGGAGTCTGGAGAACAGAAGGGAGAGGAAGACTTTTCCCTATATGCTCTTTTGTACATTTTAAGTTTTAACTTTAACTTTTTATTGAAGTATAACAGACATAAAGTGAAAATATATGTGTACGTACAGCTTGATGAATTTTGATAAACTGAACACACCCATGTAACCAGCATACAGATGAAGAAATGGAACATTCCCAAGCCAGCCTGGTGGCTGAGTGGCTGGGTTCCCATGTTCTGCTTCGGTGGCCCAGGGACCTGGCAGCACTCATCAAGCCATGCTGAGGCAGTGTGTGACACAGCAGAACTAGAAAGACCTACAATTAGAATACGTAACTATGTACTGGGGGGCTTTGCGGAGAAGAAGAAAAAAAAAGAAATAGAACATTCCCAACTTTCCAAAGCCCTCCTTATGTCCCCTCCCAGTCACTACTCTCCTCAAGAGTAACCATTACCTTAGCTTCTAACAACGTAGTGTGTGTCTAAATTTTGCATGTGGATGTCTAACCTTTTCCCCACACAAAGTTTTTTTTAGGAAGATTAGCCCTGAGCTAACATGTGCTGCCAATCCTCTTTTTGCTGAGGAAGACTGGCCCTGAGCTAACATCCATGCCCATCTTCCTCCCCTTTATATGTGGGTCACCTGCCACAGCATGGCTTGCCAACCGGTGCCATGTCCGCACCTGGAATCTGAACCTGTGAACCCTGGGCCACCAAAGCAGAACGTGCAAACTTAACCCCTGCTCCACCAGGCCAGCCCCACCAAAAATTTTTCAAATAGTAGCTTAAATACAGTTTTTCTCTCTAAGCAAGTAAATGTCTCTAGGACTAAACTGAAGTAAAAAATGGCAGGTCCTGAATAGTACAAACCACTGAGTGGACACAGGAGAGGATGGAGTCTCTCGATCCATTATTTACACTTTTACACTTGTTTTGTCCAGTGATCCTCAGGGCACCAAGGGTTGGTGATTTATCTAAAGTCACACAGCTAATTAATTAGTATTGAGCTAGAACGACTCCAGGCATTCTAACCCGTAGTGCAGGGATTGAGTGAGGAGAATTAATAAAGGGAGAGGTTTAACAGAATGTGCTAGGAGAGAGAACTCAGCAGTGTTTTCAGAGGCACAGCTGTGTGTGTGGGTGTGTAAGGGAACAGTTCTCCGGAACTGTTGCCTATCACGGTCCTAACAGGACAATGTTTGGAAGTTTCAGAGCAGAGATGTGGGTAACACAACCAAATGCAAGGCAGCTGGCTGGCTTTGCTCCAGGAGGTAAATCTGAGGAGAATCAGAGTACAAAGACTTGCCTTTAACTGCAGGCCCAAACCAACAAAATCAAGTATGGTACTGTCATCCTGCTCCATCAAATCTTAGAGACTACAAAATGGTTTGTAATGGCAAAAGATTGGAAACAACATAATGGGCCATCAATAGGAAACTCAGTAAATAAATTAGTACACACATACACTTAAATAATAAGTTCACATTTATTGGGTCCTTACCACATGCTAGACACTGTTCCAAATGACTTTCATTCATCTAATCGCACCATCACAGTATGAGATGGCTGAAATTATGATCCTCATTTTACAAAATATATATATACATTACGTGGATCCATATGTATTGACATAGCCTCCTTGCATTTTTGAATACGTGGCTGCAAGGCCTCAAAAGAAAGGCTAAGGTAGGGTTGGGGGAGTGTAAGTTACAGACAAAATCACGTTTTTATTAAATTAACATGAACTGAAATCAGAAAGTGGAAAATAAATTAGAAAGAGGGAACCTTAGAGGAAGGGGTATTATGGGTTGTACTTTTGTTTTTTGCTTTTAAAGCATAGGTTTCAGCTTTCTGTCTAGAAAGCTTATCCTCCCCTTCCTCCCACCTCCTTCACCAGACATATCTGACTCATGCTTAAGATCTCAGCTCAAAAGTGAATTCCTCAGCAATATCTTCCTTGGCTACTCCCTAAACTGAATTAGACTCCCTGTTACTGTCTTTCACAGCACTCTGGGTTTTTTTGTTTGTTACGTAAATTTCAGTTTATATTCTAATTTGACATCTGTATACACTACAAAGTGATCACCCCCAAATGTCTAGTTTCCATCCATTACCCTACAATTGACCCTGTTACCCCTTTTGCCCACCCCCTTCCCCTCTGGTAACCACGGATCTGTTCTCTGTATCTATTAGTTTTTGTTTTGTTTGTTCATTTATTTTGTTTTGTTTTTAGATTCCACATATGAGTGAAGTCATACAGTATTTCTCTTTCTTTTTCTGACTTATTTCACTTAGCATAATACCCTCAAGGTCCATCTATGTTGTCACAAATGGTAAGATTTCATTCTCTTTCATGGCTGAGTAGTATTTATACACACAGACACACCCCATCTTCTTTATCCATTTATCCATTGATGGACACTTAGGTTGTTTGTGTCTTGGCTATTGTAAATAATGCTGCAATGAACATAAGGGTATGTATATCTTTCCGAATTAGCATTTTCATATTCTTCTTCTAAGTACCCAGTAGTGGAATAGCTGGATCATGTGGTAGTGCTATTCTTAATTTCTTGAGGAATCTCCATATTGTTTCCCATAGTGGCTGCACCAATTTACAATCCCACCAACAGTGTACAAGGATTCCATTTTCTTCACGTCTTATCCAATGCTTGTTATTCCTTATCTTTTTTTTAAAAAAAGATTTTATTTTTCCTCTTTCTCCCAAAGCTCCCCAGTACACAGTTGTGTATTTTTGGTTGTGGGTACTTCTAGTTGTGGGATGTGGGACACCGCCTCAGTGTGGCCTGATGAGCGGTGCAATGTCCACACCCAGGATTCGAACTGGGAAAGCCTGGGCCGCCAAAGTGGAGCTCAAGAACTTAACCCCTTGGCCACAGGGCCAGCCCCTTGTCTTTTCAATAATAGCAATTCTAACAGGTGTGAGGTGATATCTCATAGTGGTTTTGATTTACATTTCCCTAATAATTAGTGATGTTGAACATCTTTTCATATGCTTGTTGGCCATCTGTATATCTTCTTTGGAAAAATGTCTATTCAGATCCTCTGCCCATTTTTTAATCGAGTTGTTTGTTTCTTTGTTGTTCAGTTGTATGAGTTCTTTATATATTTTGGATATTAACCTCTTATTGGATGTATATTTTGCAAATATCTTTTCCTGTTCAGTAAGTTGCCTTTCCATTTTGATGATGGTTTCCCTTGCTGTGCAGAAGTTTTTAGGTTGATGTAGTCTCATTTGTTTATTTTTGCTGTTGTTTCTCTTGCCTTTGGACTCAGATCCATGAAAACATTGCTAAGACTGACGTCAAGGAGGTTACCACTCATGTTTTCTTCTAGAAATTTTATGGTTTCAGGTTTTACATTCAAGTCTTTAATCCATTTTGAGTTAATTTTTATGTATAGTGTAAGACGATGGTCTACTTTCCTTCTTTTGCATGTGGCTGTCCAGTTTTCCCAGCACCATTTACTGAAGAGACTTTCCTTTCTCCGTTGTATGTTCTTGGCTTCTTTGGCATAAATTAATTGTCCATTTATGTGCAGGTTTATTTCTGGGCTCTCTGTTCTGTTCCTTTGATCTGTGTGTCTGTTTCTGTGCCAGTACCGTGCTGTTTTGATTACTACAGGTTTGCAGTATAGTTTGAAATCAGGGAGCATGATGCCTCCA